CCCAAACCATTCTATGATTCTATGATAGTGGGTGTTTTTTGGGTTGGGTTGTTTGTTTTTATGTGTAAATGGCTTAAGATACTTAAAAATTGTAAGGAAGATAGGTAAGTATTTTGAAAGAGTTATTTGTCTTCTTATATAGCAAACTACTTATTTTTTCCCCATGGAACAGTGTTACTTACAGATTTTGGAAAATGGGGACCTAGACGATATCTTCAGAGAACTACTTCTGTGAAGAGCAATACTGCATCAAAGCGAAATGCCTGAACTCATAACCTATTTTTCATTTGCATAGTTGTAGTTATCAAACCCATCTGTTTTTGTTACTCATGGGCAAAGTTGTTGCAGTTTGGCAAGGCTGTAGCCTCCTGCCCTAGCTGCACCTGAATTTACAATGTAACTTGTACATTTTAAAATTTCTATTTAAAAGTACTGGGCTTATTTTTCCCCTACCAGTTACACTTAACACAAAAACTTAAATCCTATAAAAAGTCAAGATAAATATTATCACAGAAATCTGAAGATGATACTATATAATAAATATTCAATGTGTAAATATCTTGACTTCCTCAAAACGAAGAACTTGTGCAGGAATCTGAGGAGGATAGGTTGGGCAGTGTTGAAAGTATAAGGAAAATTATTTTAAGAAAATGCATGCATTAAAACTTTCTTTTTGACAAGCTTGGAACACTTTCTGAGAGCTTATTAATGTTCATGTAGATCAGGTTTCTGAGACCTGCTAAATGGATGCTTTATATTAAATAATAGGTTTAGAATATTTATCACATTCCTATGTTTTACATGCCAATGTTGAATTTTCACAGATGCACAGAATTGTTTAGGTTGGAAGAAACTCTTGAGATCATGTGGTCTAACTTGTCCAATGTTTCTGGTAGAGCAGATTGCCCAGGACTCTGTCCAGTCAGAATTTTATATACCTGAGAAATTTTATGTGCTTTAGGAAGGCCTCTATGAACTTTAGATGGATGGGTGGTGGTGGTGGTAGTTGTTGTGGTGTGGTTTTTTTTCCCTTTCACCCCACTTCTGAATCAGACTTTGGAACCAGGGGAGGGGAGAGATGAGAGAAGAAGAGGGAGTGTTTCTGTGTTGGACCGTATTTGAAAATGAAAAATTTTTCACATTTTTAGGGTACATATTGTACTAAGGAGCATAGGTGTAAGTAAGAGTATAAAGACTGTGATCAGCAAAGATGAGGCTGTGGCTTTCTTGCAGGGCAATGTTAAAAGAGGCTGAATTTAGTTCCTTGTGTGTCAGTTTGGAAGTTGGGAGAGGAGCGCTCAGTCCTCTGATTTGCTCTCTTTCTCTTGTATGACCTTTATAGGGTGAGTTGCATGCAAAGTTGCGGATACCTAGCACATGCTGAACGAAACAGGAGCTAAGCGCGTAAATGCCCATTTATAATGTGAATTTTGGTGCTCTTCAGGTGAGATCAAGAAAAACATTTTGATGCCTGAACTGGAATTTTGGTATAATATATGCGCTAAAGACCAGTTCCTGGTTCCCCAGTAAATACTTAAATGATTGAAAGGAGTTACTTAAGTATTCATTAGCAATATTCATTGAGCACCTGACATTGTTATATATGTATCCACAGATACATTGCTGTGCTGGCTGAGGTAACATTCACGGCTGAAGTGTTCCTGTTCCCAAGTCTTTGGGGCATGGTTGCGTTGGGAAGTGCAGAACACACATGTGGCTAATACTGAATTTCTCATACAGCCCTGCTGCCATAATTTAATTTAAAAATGCAGTTAGCATTGATGATAGTTACCTGATGTACATTAGTTGAGAGGTTAGAGCACTTGTGCAAGAATTTGGAAAACTCAAGTTAAGTGGATCTTGCACTCTGAGGGAATTCAAGCCTTTATTTCCAAGTACCACATTGAAAAGGAATGAGAGGACCTTGCCCTCCTCCTGCAGGTTGTACCATGGGCTAACTGAAAATGTCAGATTCATGGATCCCCATTGAGAGAACTAGCAGGAAAAAGCATGACTGCATAGCTGAGTGATGATGGGTATTTGTCTTTTGCTTGTGTGTGTGCGTGTTCTCTCTCATACGTTCTCACTCTTTGTCACTCTCTGCTTTTCTGAATCTTCCCCCTTGCTGGAAGCATGGTACAGAAAGCACTCACACAGAGGCAGATGTACTTGTCCCTAAGCTGTTGGGGTTGCAATTGCCCAGCCTCACGGATAATTGTCTGTTTCCCCTACCAGTTGCCTCAAGGCTCACAAGGTGAGACTAGGCAAGGTACATCCCTACCTCATCAACAGAGCTGTAAGGTGCTCAGATTTCCTTGTGGAAGGACAATGAGTACCTATGATAAGACTTTTTTGGTAGAATTATACAGAGGTATCATACTCTGAATGCTGTAATTTTACTATATGGTAATAAGATGGCATTTTTTTATAGCATGATTCATGTACTTATTTACCTTAGGCAGTTGTAGAGCAAAAGTTATCAAAGTATCTAAGTGCTGGGATCTTAAGACTTCATGGTTACTGCGTTGTGATAATTTTCACATCAAACATTCTCAGTTAGAAAGTTAAAAGATATTTCATTGCTGATGCTGTTATATACCCTGCAAGGTCTGCCTGGTCTCTTTAAGATTGAAGCTTATTCTGCATATCAGCTATTTCAATATCGATAATAAAGGTTCTGATGGACAAGCTGTGCCCTTAGGAACACGCACACAAGCTATTTCTTTTGCAGTAGTGCCTAAAAGTTCCTCTCCGGATCTGTGTTGTGTAGTGCATGATAGTATTATAACCTGTTTAAACTAACTTCTAGCTCACTGCTTTAAAAGGACCAGTGCTGTCTGCTTCGAGCAGGTAGTTATTGTTCTTTCTTCTCTTAAGGATTCTGAGTGTATTCCTCTCTAGTTTTAGGAAGATGCTTAAGTGGCCAAGCAAGAGAAACAGGAGTGAGACTACAGCAGAAAACATTTTTGTGAGCCTTTGGGGCCAAGTAGATTAGCTGTGTACATCAAGATTACATAAAGCTGCAATGTTTTATTGTTTATACATTACTGTAAAGTGCATTAAGTCTTACAGGTATCCTGTTTTTTTCTCTTTTGATACTGGAGTTTAATTAGCATTTTAATATTTTATTTGCATTTGATATCCTTATTTATTTTATCACTACTTGAGCAGGGACGTTCAGACAAAATCTACAGTTGTCATTGGTTTTAACTAAATGAAACAGAAAAAAAACTTTGTTGTTTAGTGAGAAACAGATACATTTTGGTTTCCATCTGGCCTGTGTTGACTTTGTGTTGCAAGCTTGAGTAAAAATTCAGTGGAAAATAAGTACATTTATATGTACATATATCAAGAAAAGAGTACAAGCATTTTTTATTAAAGTCAAAGCAGCTAGAACTGACCGGAGAGGAAATCTCTCAAATAAAAAGGTATAACTATTTTCAAGAAGTTTCACTGACCTGAAGCACACACAGAGCTCATCCGATAGGAATTGCAAAGAGGGTGCAGAACAGACCCGCTTTCTGTTAGCGAGCACTTTCTGCAGAATTAATGATGCAGGGTCTATATGCTTGGGGAAAAGTGACTACCGCAGCTACTCACAGCGGTCAGGCAGGTAAAACTTTGGGAACACTGAACAGTACAGTAGAGGGATTGTGCACTGTGTGTTGGTGGTGCCATTGACTCCAGCCTGTCTGTAAAGTATATACAGCAAGTCTGTTCTGTGTGTGTGCATGTAGGTACTTGTGTGTGCATACATACATAAATACATACGTTTGTAAGTGTGCATGGAGTATAGCGGTTTCCTTTGTCACCTCCAAGCTGCATTTTTATTTTTCCCTTTTTGATCTAACATGACATATCTTTATGTGATAAAGCAGACCTTCTCTTCTCCATCTTTTATGGAGCTAGGACTAGGTACAGTTCAGAGTAGCATGGGGCACCGGAGCGAGCTTTATATGAAAGGCCAGGATGACTTAAGCTGTGTCAATATGAACTTCCAGGTTGATTCAGATAAACTATTCCCAGCATTGTATGTCGGCAATTTAGATAGTACTGTCAAATTATCCATTGACAGAGTAAGGCATTTCCCATTGTATGAGTTTTTCTTCTTCTGTTTTGTTTTATGTAGAGGAAAGGTATGTATATGTGTAGATATGCTTTTATATTACTGTATGTGGCACTACCAAATTTCTCATGTTCTCTTTATTTAGGCATCAGGATGTTGTGAGTATAGTCCGTAGAGTACACAAAGGGAATGCCAGTTGGCCTTTTCTATTACTTTATTTCTGTTTCTGTGCGTTGTTTCTATACATCTACAGCCAAATGAAAAACACTGCCACCTTTTTGCATACTTTTATTAGATCTATTTACACCTTTCTTCCTCTTCCACCTACACAGTGCACTGTGTGAAGCTTTTTCTAGTATGGGCTATACATCCTATGAAGCTTTGACAGTACGTTCTTGGTTTCGATGCATTTTGCAAATGTTCATAGATCAACCGACTGGTATGCTGACCAAGACAGATGCTGAGCGAACAGTTGGTAAGCATTCACATTTCCCTAATGTTTGCAGTAATGATTCTATATTGCAAAACTGGCAAACATTTTCAGCTAATTACAAAATGTATTTTTGTTTGTATCCCTTTACTTTTACCTAATTACAAAATGTGTTTCTTTACACTGCTTGTGCGATTTATTGATAGTTTGCCTCTTCTGCATGTGACAAATTTATCACAAACAAGGATAAAAGAGCTTGTTTCCTTGGAAGCAAAGAACAAAAACTTGCTCCCAAGGAGACAAGCTATTTTTCCCCCATGGAGAAACTGCTCTGAAAAAAAAGTGAAAATATGAAGTAAATAGTCAGAAATCATGCTGTGAATGCCCTAAAAGAAAAAAAAATAAAAAAAGAAAAAGAAAGGAAAAATAGGAAAAAAAAAAAAACTCTAGTTGCAAGTAATTCTTCCCTTTTCTGTATTGGTTATTTTGCTTTCTTAGAGCAATACTTCGTCACTTCTATAAAACACTGCAGTCCTAATTATTTGTAGAACACATCTTCTAGCAGCTATTTTTCATACACATTTTGTAGATTTTGAAGAAAACCATCAGTAAAATGAAAGACTTCTTTATCCATACTTAATAGTCTTCATTCTCATATATCTGTATTAGAAACATAACTAGTTTAAACGCATTCTTTGTCTAGAGAGATGCAGTCAGTTGCAGAATCCTTGTATTTTAGACATTTTAAAATCACGTTTCATTTTATTATTTTGGGACTAAAGTAAATAAAAAGTATAACTATATAGTATATTTACAGTTGTGGTCTCTTGTAACAAACAGGAAAAGCCTATATGGAACAGCTGACTGAAATGACAAGACTGATTTTTAAACTCCCAGAAGTAGAAAACATTCTTTCAAAGGCTCATGTTGAAGAGTCAGTTTTCAAGCAAGACCCTAAAAATGCTCTTGTGCAATTCATTAAGGTACTGTACATCTCTGTGTTAGCTTCATAGGACAATCTTAGGGAAAAGGAATTAAGTGTTGCATTTTGTTTAGTGTATAAGAAGAAATGACTCACGCAAACATTGTAAGAGACTTAGCAAGTTTATTTATATTTGTTTCAATGTTTCTGTTTTCTCAGGCTCTTGGTAGAACTTACAGTGGCCTTCAGACACTCCCTGAGAAATCTGCCATGGTAACAAAGACTCTGGAGTATTTAGGTGACGTATTGAAGTATGTAAAACCTTATCTGAAGGTAAAAGGACCTCCAGAAGGTCTGCAGCTTACATATTGGATCATAGGTAATTATTTTGTAACCTCTTTTCTTTTAGGAAATAGGTTTAAGGAATCAGTAAAATGTGATTTTTAATGCTTTAAAAAATATTTTAAGAAGTAAGAGGGGAAAAAATTCCTCCCTACTGTCCATGTTAATGGTTTGAAAAAAGCAAAGTCCCCAACATGTTACAGTTAGATATCTAATTTTCTTCCACTGATTTTCTTTGGTTTATATCCTGATGCTCAACCTCCTTGTGCTTTTTATTTTTTTAAATTACCCCTGCAAATCAGTGTTTTCAAAAGTAAGATGTTTTCTTGTCTTTTACCACTGAAAACCACCCGTTCTACCTAAACAAAAACAGAAGCAGTGACAAGCCAGTGAAGCAATGTTATGACATGAATCATATTTACTGGAGCTGTGATAGTGGACAGGTCGGCTTAGGAACGTAACTTCCTTTTAGAACTGCTCCTCTTACATACACTCTGTGCTATGTTAAAGCTCAAATTCTACTATTAATGAATTAATGAAAGTGTAGAACCACTGGTAGGATGGAAAAATAAGAGTGAATGTGCCAGTCTGACCTGCTTGCCTTTAAAAACAGGGTAAACCTTATGTATCTTAAAGACAGAGGTAACCATTTGCACATACATGCAGTGCACATCGTGATTATAGGGAGTACAGTGAAAAGCATGACCAAGATGCAAAAGGTGCATCCAATGTAGTGGAGTTTGAATTTTGTAAAATACTTTACTTTCCTATTGCAAGACTTGCATATTTTGATATACAAGACCTATGTGAAATTGAATGTTTTTAGATATCCAGATGTTGGGTTGGAACCTTGTAAAGTAACTTTAGATTGCTATTTTCCTTTCTGTTCTTTGCAGTAGGAAATGATTAATCTTCAGTCACGCTGTTGTGTGCAAGAAATTGTCCTTTCTTTTTAGTTAAGAAAACATTAAAATAAAAGGATATTTAAGTGTATTTCACTTCTCCACATTCAGTGGGCTTGTTAAATTATAAGGACAAAGCAAGAAACTTAACAGATCTAAACACCTCCTGTCTGAGATCAGATTATGTCTTCTACTGTCCCATACATCACAGCAGCGATAATAGAAGGAGTAGTTTTAGCTGGAATGAGCATGTTTCTTTCAAAGCAGGAAGCTTAGACAACATTATTAGAAGTATTGTTAAGTGATCGTTCTCTTTCTCTATGATTGATCATTGTGTTTTCTTTCACTCCACAAGATTAATGTTGTTTTGTGTTGTTTTTAGAGATGGTAATGGATGACTTTTATAGATTAATAATATCTTGTAACAGCCTACTTTTGATCTTTCATTATTTTCAAAGTTTCAAACATATTTTCTTGGGATATTCCTGTATTTTCAACCCAGCAAACACTTTCCTGCTTCTAATTAAATATAAACTTAACAATATCTGTGGGAACTAGTACATAGAAATCTTGTTTTATTTAATCTGTATTTTGAGTATTAACACTCACCAGTATAGAGTTGTTTTCTCAATAAAAATTACACCTCACCTGCAATAAAGATGTTTCTCAAAGTCAGAGTATTTACACATCAACACCTTTTTACCACTTTTTTTTTACAACTCAAAAGCAAGATCTTAAAACTGGCTCAAAGCTGTGCAAGTGATGCACTAATGTGTTGAAAACAAGAAAGATGTTCTCTGAGGCAGTCATTTTGTGGACTGAAACCCCACTAAGATCTGGAGAGACCCTGCTAATTTAATGGAGTTGACTGCCCCTCATTCTTTTTAATCTGCCAAATTAGATGCATTAAATACAATTTGAAAGGTACTTAGTGTTTTCCTAACATTGAATCACTGTGTTAGTAGTTGCTGATGGGGGCATGGTGGTATTAGACAAATGTGAAGGGAAGGCAAAGGCAGCATCTCTCTGTAAAAGGGGATGAATGCACACAGTAAGGTAAATGTTTAAGTGTTTGTGTGCTGATTGCAATAGTGTTATGTATCAAGTTTAGTTAATTTTTCTGCAGGAATGTGAGAGACTGTCCTTTCTTTAGCGTTACAGTACTTTTCCTAAAGCAGCTTCACTTGCCTAAAAGCTTGTAATGTATGGAACCAATTCAGTACTTTCATTTTGCTGAACTGTAAATGAACTTTGAGTTGTCTTGACTGGGCTTTTTCTAAGGGGATACCATCATATAAGTACATGGGGGTGAGACGTTTCAGGTGCCGTTGCTACTTTTGGATTATCTAATTTAACACAATTGGCTCTTTAGGCTTTCTTTTTTCCTGACTGTAAATTGCTTTGGGATTTCTTGATTTTTTATTTTTTTTTTTTCAACAGGGTGTCTGGTAAAGTTCTGGGCACCGATACTGGCTACTTCCAAAGCACAGCAACTCCTGTTCCGCATCGTGGATTGCTTACTGCTGCCACACTCTGTGCTCCAGCAGGACAAAGAGCTGCCTGTGGCTTTGCTGTCTGCCATTCAGGAAAGCCTACCTCTTTATCTTCAGGTAAATATCTGAACTAACTCTGTTATCAGCAGACAAATATATCTTCAGGAAAAGATTCATATTGCAGAGGATGTTTTCTTTTTTCCTAATCAAAACAGGCGTTGGCTGAATTTAAAGAAGCAGCAAAAGGGTTTTTTTCTTCTTGTGGAAGTGGAAGAAAAAATGCCACCCCATTGGCTTTCCTCTCATTGCATGCAGCTATGCTGTGGTACGCTCCAGAGCTGCTGGTCTAATTGCTGTACGTAGAGAAGCTTTTAGCCAACCTGCTGTTTATACTGGTCTCTGATGTGAGAGATTTCTGAAACAGTAGATCCAATAATCGTAATATGTAGCAAGACACTTGTTGAGATGACAGAGCAAACAAATGTTTTAAATCATCCTTGACTTGGCTAACTGTAGATAATTAAAGATGAGCTACTCTTTTTTTCGTTGTTCCTAGGAACAAAAGACAATCCTCTGCGATGCAGGGCACTGTTTTATCTTAATAGTTTATGTTTTCCTGAATCAAATTCTGTCGCGACCCAGCACACAGAACCAC